AGATGCCTTCATAATTATTATACATATTGTTGCACACTTTGATGTACAATAGATGCATTCAATAATTCAAGGGGCCTTCAATAATTATTGTACATATTGTTGCACACTTTGATGTATAATAGATGTTTTCAATATTTCAAAGGGCCTTCAATAATTTTTGTACATATTGCTACACACTTAGATGTACAATAGATGTCTTCAATAATTTTTGACAACGTACTAGACAAAAGACTTGTCACAAGAAGACACTTCAATTTATTACAAGAAAATACCAATCTAGCGCACTTAAAATTATTACAAAAAACAACCACACTAGCACACTTAAGTTTATTACAAGAAAACAATCACACTAGCACACTGAAATTTAACACAAGAAAACAACCACACTAACACACTTAAGTTTATTACAAGAAAACAACCACACTAACACACTTAAGATTATCCATCATCACCGTTCTCCTTCTCGGCGCCATATATGCTCAACCAAATCCTTTCGGAGTGTGTTGTGACCTTGATAAGCATGAATTCTATTTAAACATCTCATATACTCACTGAGTATGACCCTATCATGTTGAGTCTCGTATGTAGTTGCAACAAGTTTGCAAATTCGGCTTCTTCATTGTTCATTTCTGCATCCCCAGTTGCAAGGCTTGCTTGGTATTGTGTCATCTGTATTGCCAAGCTACACCTTTTTCTATCACCCATTGATGATATATTGATGATTTTGAGGGAACAAAAACACTTTGAAAGTTGGATGATTGGTGAATATGTTTTGTGATGGTTAGATATTCAACCTATGCTTATATAGAGGATGATTGAAGGTTTGTGTTTCATGTGTTTCGTATGTATTTGTTATGTGTTTCGTGTGTTTTATGTGTTTCATGTGTTTCGTGTGTTATACATCTCTATCATGTGTTTTGTATGTGTTTCATATGTGTTTTGTGTGTTTCTTGTGTTTTGTGGTTATACATCTCTATCATGTGTTTATATTCTTTGGTAGTGTTTCATGTGTTGATTTAGTGATTTTTCAATATTTATTGGAATTTAGATATTTTTATGTTAAAATGTTCATAAAATTAATTTAGGATAGTCTACATAATTTTTTTTTTTTTAAAGTTAATGTTTAAAAATAGCTTAAATTCATTTTTTAATAATCTGGAGCTAAAATTTTAGCCTAGACGGGTTGGAGCAGAAAAGCTATTTTTGGGCTAAAACCCAAATTTGCTGGGCTAAAAATTTTAGGTTTTAACCTAAGGGATAAAGATGGTTTGAGAACTAGATTTTTTTATGCAGCACTAAAAAAAATTGATTTCGTCAAACATTTCCGTTAGCTCACCCCATCTTTTATCTGATGGAAGAAATTATGAAATCTAATCCTAAGAACCAACCAGCCAACAAAACCAATCAATTGACTATTCGCTGAGATTTGCACACCAATCAAGCAAACAAAAACCAAGCAACATGAAAAGAGGAGCAGCATGCATACCTCATCATCATTAGCTGAAGAATTCGACCTCTCGGACTAACAACTAACAACATTAACATCTCGTTTTTAATCAACTCAAATGAAGAATCGAGTCAAATAGTTATCAGAAATTAGTGGTTTGTTTTTGAGGATTTTTTTTCCTGAGGTTTTTTTTTTCTGTGATTGGTTGTTAAATCCCCTAATTTGGGGTTTGATTGTTTTTGTGATTTGTTTGTGGTCTAATTGTTTTGTATTGCCAGGTATGGGGCTGTTTTGTCTAAAAAAAAAAATGAAGGGAAGCTGGAGAGAGAGAGAGAGAGAGGACGAGAAAGGCCAAAAGTCTGGAGAGAAATAAAGAGAGAGAGATGGGATGCAGTGAAGCATGTGGACAGAGGAAGAACCCGAGTAGGAAATAAGCTTTCTGAAAAGAAAAAAAAGCGGATTGGGGTGGGAATGTTAGCGGAGGGTTGATCGAAATGTTAATTTTGGAGTTGAATCCTAACAGACTTCACCAACGAGGTTAAATCCGAATTTTTTACCATGGAGACTATCTTCCGATTACCTTATCACCACGAGAACCATTAATCTAATTTAACCCCCTAGTAATTGATCTATTTCTTGATTTTAGGTATTTGATTATGGATTTGAAAGGAAAATTCACATTTTTGTAATTTTGACCCTAATGCCTCTTCATTAGCATGAAGTTGAATAACAGGCCCTTCTGGTGAAGCGTTGACCAATCCCTTAACTGGAATTTGATTGGTGGAAGGCTCAGCCGTGGGATCAAGAGCTGGAGGAATGGAAATTTGGATTTGAGAAATCCGATGAGATGGTTGCCTTTGCTTCTTTAAAGATTTATGTTTTTCCATAAATGGCTTTTCAAGAGCATGATTCACCCACTCCTCTGCCGGTGGCTGCTGGAAATTTTGTAAGTCCTCTTCGACCAAGGATGTAAGGTCAATAGTCTTGAGCATTTCACCCTGATGATCGCCATAGCTCGCTAGTTTGGCCTTCTTCTTGGAGACCTTAGAAGGAGTTTCCTTTGGAACGACCTCTTCCGGATTCTTTCTCTTATTTTTCTCGAAGGGTTTATGGATTTTTAATGATTAATTATGAAAAATCAAACTTTATAACTAAGTAACCAAAATTTCAAAGTTAACGGAAAACAATATTAATTTCCCGAGAGTACAAATCAGGATTACAAAATACGAATTACGATCAAATGAATAGTGAAATTATGAGACGAGATTTCACATATGAGTTCTAATTTAGAGACGATAATATTTTATAAATAGATTTTATTTCTTTATATATTCGATTAAAAGTTTAGATAAATCATAAAAGTAATATAATTTATCTCTATATATAAAGGGAGAAAGCCAACATAATACCAAGAATTGCCTCTCTTCAATTAGAATACAAAAACCAACTAATTTTCATGTAATTAATTTAATCAACACAAAAAACTGTGAATTGGGAGGTGTTGCGAGAATCAAACTTCCGACCTCTTGCACCTGAATTAAAATCATAACACTATACCAAACACCCAATAACTAACAATTAACCTTTATTCTTATTTTAAACAAAAATAGCCTTTAGCTTGTCAAAGATCCATAATTGTTTGTAGTTTATTTGGACTTAGCCTCACCTTACCTAGAAATTGAATAATTGCGTATTACAAGTGGTGAAAGAGGGTGTCATAAGTTAGGTTTAAAATGGTGGAAAAAGAAGACAAAATTTTGGAAATAAAAAATTGAAATATTAAAAAAAAAAGTAAAAATTAAAAACTAAAACTAAAAATATGGTCAAAATTTTGAGAACTTATTAAAGTAATCTTTCTTAAAAAAAAAAAATTCAAATAAATTTTCAGTTTAAAAATAATAATAATAATTATTATCTAAGGGCCAAAATGAAGCAATACCTTGGAGGCTAAAGAGTATTATTATGGACAACAAGTGTTTGGCAGCTTCTTACATGTCCAAATTTTGGAAGCTAAGTTTTTAAAGAAGCAAATTGTGTGCCGAATGCAATCATTAGTCTAGGCTTTAAAAGTACAAACTCTTATTTTTGGAATTGATGATTGTGGACTGTGGCTAATCGGGCCCTCCTATTTGATTGTATTAGTATTGGTTGTAATTGCAGTCACTTGAACTAATTATTTTTAGCTATTGAGAAAATAAAAATAAAGCAAAATTGTAACATCCCATATCATCTAGGGGAGTGGATTCTGTAAGCCTTATATGTATATTCCCATCTCTACCTAGCACGAGACCTTTTGGGAGCTTACTGGCTTCAAGTTTCATCAGAACTCCGAAGTTAAGCGAGTTCGAGCGAGAACAATCCCATGATGGGTGATCCACTGGGAAGTTCTTGTGTGAGTTTCCAGAAACAAAACTGTGAGGGTGTGGTAGAGGCCCAAAGCGGACAATATCGTATTACGATAGAGTCGAGTCCGGGATGTGGTGGGGGCCTGGGCTGGGATGTGACAATTTGGTATCAGAGCCTAACCCTGGCCATAGTGTGCCGACAAGAACGTCAGACCCCTAAGGGGGTGGATTGTAACATCCCACATCGCCCAGGGGAGTGGATCCTGTAAGCCAACGTCAGGCCCCTAAGGGGGTGGATTGTAACATCCCACATCGCCCAGGGGAGTGGATCCTGTAAGCCTTATATGTGTATTCCCATCTCTACCTAGCACGAGGTCTTTTGGGAGCTCACTGGCTTTGGGTTCCATCGGAACTCCGAAGTTAAGCAAGTTCGCGCTAGAGCAATCCCAGGATGGGTGACCATTGGGAAGTTCTCGTGTGAGTTCCCAGAAACAAAACCATAAGGGTGTGGTAGGGGCCCAAAGCGGACAATAAAGTGCTACGGTGGAATCGAGTCTGGGATGTGGTGGAGACCCGGACCGAGATGTGACAAAAATAGGATGAACAAAAAAAACCACGACCTATGCTCGATTTTACAATAAATTGTAGCAATAGTTTATCAACTTTAACCCAACTACAACAATGATCTTTTAACTAAACATCTGTTACTAATGGTCCCTCAACTCATCAAAACATATAGCTATGATCATTTTTGTTAACTCCGTTATAACTTCCGTCAAAATGAGTCACGTGCTATGCACGTGAGGCTAAATCAATGGGCAAATATGAAAAATCAAATAAGAAAAATTGTATCAATGACCCCTCAACTTTAATTCAACTGGAGAAATGATCTCTCAATTTTAACCCAATTAGAGTAATGGTCCCTCAACTTTAATCTAATTGTATTAATGATCATTTCAACATAACTCATTTTGATAAAATTCTGACAGAGTTGATGAAAATGACCATATCTATATATTTTGATGTGATGAGTTAAAAGATTAATGGTAATGAATTTTTAATTAAATGATCATTGCTCAAATTTAAATGAAATTGAAGAATTGTTGCTATAATTTACTCCTCGATTTTAACACCTCCGAATTCGTAATTTTTCATTTCCACTATTTCTGATTAATTCCCGAAAATCACTATAAAAATTGAGAATTGTCGGCATTTTTCGCTTTAGGCACTGTGTTGAAACCCTCGCTCTCTTTCTCACTACAAATCTCACACCAACATCACAGCCCCACCCCACCCTAAAGAACAAGCTCCGACCACCGCCCATGGCGACCAGCGTGATTAGGGTTCTTCTTCTCACTCTCCTCCTCATCGCATCCCCTTTCCTCCAAGGTCTCTCTCTCAAACCCAAAACTAGATCTAATATATACCTTTGTATACATTGTATTGTTTCGTTCATTTCGTTTGTTGAAATTGGGATTTGCTCATCGAATCGATTTACCAGCTAGTGTTTGGTGTTTACTTGTTGGGGTTGACTTTGTTGATCGGTGCAAATTAGATCTGGTTTGACTAATTTTCGTTTTGATCGATTTGATGCTCCATTGTCTTGATGGAGTGTGCTCGAATTTATTGTTGATGTGTAGGTTTGGCATAGATTAGATGAGTTTATTGTCGTTAATTTAATTAGTAGAAAGCGAAATTTCACTTCAAGGTAGCCTTTTCAGCTGACATGCAATTGCTTTCGTGAGGTTTTGGAATGCGATTACGTGTTTTGTTGATCTTTTTCGCTCATTGTCCTGCCCTTTTCAGATGACTTAACTAATGCTTGCATGCTGGGTTAGATAAGTAAAAGTTGAGTCTTGAGTTCAATAGACTCTGATTTACGTGTTTGGTTTGCAATATTCATAATTTGTGGAAATTAGGATAACATTTTGGTTGATTTAATGTGGATTCCAAGTGGGTCGTACTGAATATGTGGTTCTTCCGATCTTTAGTCGCCAGGGGCCAGTCTAATTCGGAAGTGGATGCTTCTGACACCGTGGAAGAAACTAGTGATCTTGGGATTGTTGGCGAGGATGTCCAAGATTTTGGAGACGGAAATTTTAGCCCAGCTCCCGGAGTTGATACAATCTGTTTCTTCCCCAAAAACATCGCTAAAAGTAAGAATTTCATCATTATTGTACATTGGAAAATTTATAGCCATTTTTTTTTTTTCAATTTTAGAAATGTGTTGTTTACTTTGATCTTGTCTATGCAGCGGTGGCGGCAGGGGAAGAGACTGAAATACTGGTTGGTCTGAAAAATGATGGTAATAAACATAACATTTTCTTATGTGATTGGATTCTCTCTTTCTTTGAGTGCAATGCAATGCTGTGTTCAAATTGTTTTTATCACCTTTATTATTTGTTCTGTGCTGCAACTTGCCAATTCCCCTTGGAAAGAGCAACATGATTACTTCTTGAGCAGGCGTACTCATGCACATTTTCTGCTATATTTTTTCTGAAATGGTTAGAACATGGCTTAATTGCTGTTTTGATGTGAAACCAGGAGAGTCAAGCTTGAATGTGATTGCAGTCAAAGCCAGCGTTCATCTTCCTTTCGATCACAATCTGCTGGTTCAGAATCTTACTGCCCAGGTAATTGTTGGTATGATTGGTTTACACATAAATAATCTCTGAATTTGCTTTTAAATTGTTTTGTTTCATCAGGAAATTTTTTTGTTGGTTAACATGTTTTTTTAGAATCTGGAAACATTTTATGACAATTAGTCTTGTTATGAACAACTGAACTTCATTTTTTCTTTCCATATTGCTATAATATCTCTTTTTATTTGCTTGCTGCTTGTGATATTGCTGATTGCATGTAACTTATTTTACAAGTGAAGGATATGTATGCTTAACAAACCATAGTTTGTTAAAATCTAGATTGGCAGGATATCCATGACCAGTGTAAGTTTGGTTATCTAAGTTTCCTATTGAAGCTTACTGAGATCTGTTTTCATAATTGACTTGGTAGAGATCATACCCCTCATTGCCTATTTTTAGCACAAGCCCAGTTGTCAAGTATTGTAATAATTAATATAAATAGTGGATGAGGGTTGATAGTCACGTTGAAAGGATAGCTCAATCAAGAACATTGAGAGTGATGAGAGTTCAGATTTGAACTTTAATGTAGAAGATTTTCCTTTTACCTGAATGACATGTTGAACTGATTCATTTTAAAGTATTTTGAAGATTCATAAAGTTTAATAACCTAAATCCTTTTTACTTATATTTTTAAAGCCCATTACCATTGGGTTGGTCATTTATTTTACCGCACCATTTTAGACTTTCTAGTTTGTAAAATGTACCTCTTATCTTTTCATGTTGGGAATTTTGTGTTACTCTTTGCATTAAAGTTGCTTCTGGCTAGTTTTGTTTTGTACTTTTGTCAGTTTCACATACAGATGTGGTTTAACTGTAGGCTTTTAACAATGGATCAGTTCCAGCTTCGGCCCAGGCTACTTTCCCATACATATTTGCTGTCAGCAAGTTCTTACAGGTATCATCATTCCCATCTATTGTTAACATCTGAAATTGCTTCTATTTTCAGTCAACTTACTTTAAAATGCAATTGAATCAATGGAGTGGGACGCTTTACCTAAATCATTTAATTTGTGTTATGCAGCCTGGCGCTTTTGATCTCGTGGGTACCATTTATTATGAGATAGACCAGCAACCATACCAGAGCACCTTCTACAATGGTACTATCGAAGTTGTTGAGGCTGGTGCTATGCTCAGCATTGAGTCTGTTTTTCTTGTCACCCTTGGATGTGCCCTTCTTGTCCTCCTAGGTTTATGGATTCATGGTCAAATACAGCACCTTTCTAAGGTATTCAGACTTATTTATGAAATTTTTTTTTTTTTACTATACTTGTTTCAAATCTTTATAAAACTGCACGTTTAATATAATATATGGGTGATGTTAGTTATATGTTTATATTTACTTTTGTTCATTTTTTTTCATTTAATTAATCTTTTGTGTGTGTCTGTTTTTGGTTAGAAAACCAAGAGGGCTCCCAAGGTGGAAGTTGGAACCAAGGCTACCGATGCCTCTATGGATGAATGGCTTCAGGTATGCAGTCGATGCTCCAAAATATCTCGCTAATTATTCTTATTTTGCTAACTTGTTTCGAATTTTCAAATTTTGTGTTTCCAACGGTTAAAACATGGCCCTGTTAATAGTTATCAATTTCTTTTTGAGATTTGCGTCTCTCATAATGCAAGTCATGCACTCATAACTTTTAATAGGGCCTATTCAATATGGGTTGCTTCATGTAGAACTTCCCGCATCTGTAGTTTAATCGGTGTTTCAAATTGCCACAGAAAAATAAAGAAGTATAAGTTTTAAACGAGGGATATAACAAAACAAAGAAGCATTGGTTCTTCTAATTTCATCTGTGTCAATAGTGAGCCGAGTCAGCTGTGTTGTTTAAAGTGTACTTTGTATCTTTGATCATTATAAATTCAAGAATCCATCCTTATGTGTACCGTTTTAACTCTTTTGATGGCCAGGGAACTGCATATACTCAGTCAGTCAAAGACAAAACAAAGAAGAAGAAATAGATTACAGAACTGTTCACAGTTCATCTGCACGAGACATTACATTGAAGTGCAGACTCTTATAACCCACACTAGGGATGTGAAGATATGTAAGAGAGGTCGAAAACTTGCACAAGTTCTGGAATTTAGACCAGAAAACAATACTTGCCTTGCTATTGTAGACACGACGGGAAACTTTTACAGTTTCTTTTTTAGAGATGGAGTTGAGAAGTTCAACTAACGCAATGCTAGGAATCATACAATTTTGTTGATGCGATACAATTTTCCTTAAGATCTTGTTTTGATTCGGGATTTGCATGGATTTGGCTTGTGCATTTGTTGATTCACCGTTTTTCAAGGATCTAGTTTATGCAAAGTAGCAACACTTTGGTATGAAAAAATGACGACGGTGACGTTAATGTTCGCGTTCGACGTTTAGTCGGTGTGGGTTTGGTCCACAGTGATGATATTTCTGTTGGGATTAAGAAAAGGGATGATGGAAAGCTTGTTTAAGGTAAAACAATGCAGTACTCCATGACATACAAAGGACAGTGGCTCTGCTAATAATGTGAGAGTAAGGGATACAATGAAACCCAAAAAAGGGTAAATCTTAGTTTACTACCCTCAAGTTTTGTGGTTTTTAACGTTTAGTACATGAAGTTTTTTTCGTCCCATCTAAAGTGTTAATTTTGGAGCAGTCTTATATATCCATAGTCTGGTTATTAAGTCTCCTATTAACTGATGACGTGGGGCAATGACTGAACGTCACGTGTCATTAAGGGGGTTCACGTGGAAATTAAAAATTCAAAAAAAAAGTTTCCCGTTCAAATTTAAAATATTAAAATAATTAATTAAATAAAAGTATTAAAAAACAAAAAAAGCCAGAAAACCCAGAACCTTCTTCGTCTTCCCCACCCAACACCCCTCCATCCCCTCCACAGCTCCACCCGTCCATCCCTTCCACCCTTGCTCCCACGATGAACATCGAACCCAAAGGCACTATTGTCTTCTCCACCGTTGGTAGACCTCACTATGGCTTTGACATTTTCGCCCTCCCCATCCTTCTCCACCCTTTCTCCACCAATATCGGCCTTGAGCGCCGCATCTCTAACGGCTGTTCCATCAACTTCAACGCCCAATTTGCTGACAACAACCACGAACCCCACTCCCTCGTCTTCATCTCCGAGCCAACCGTGTTTCCCGCCATTTACTTAACTCGGCTAGGACTCCCCCATCCCCAGCTCTTGCACTCCAAACCCAGATCCTTCTTCCATGACTAACCCATCATAAAAAATCACACCTTCTACTTTGTTTCAGCTCACCAGGATCCCAATCGATACTTCAAATCCTGTATTGAATTTCAAGTATGGATTTATTTCTACTATTTCATGTATTGTAAAGATACAAAGAGAAATAAGAGATATTTAAGGGTTAGGAATTAGTGCACATACCATGCACACTGCTATACGGGAAACCCTAATAGCCACTACACAAAGGTTAGTATAGGAGACTTACACCAAATCTCCTTAAATTAAGGAGTAGCTAACAAGAAAGAGACTACATACAAGTTGACAAGGTAACCCATAAATCTGCAGCCCTAATAACCTAATAACCACCATCACCATTCTTCCAATACTCCCCCTTAAGCCAAATCCAGCAAATTGATGGAACGAAGCTTGCCCAAAAGACGTTGAAACTGATTCATAGGCAAGGATTTAGTGAATAGGTTAGCAAGGTGGTCAGTACTTCGAACATAGTGAGTTTGAATGACCTGTGTTTGCACTTGTTCACGTACATAATGGCAATCCACTTCGACGTGCTTGGTCCTTTCGTGAAACACTGAATTTGAGGTAATGTGCATGGTTGCCTGATTGTCACAATAAAGAGACATGGGCTGAAATTTGAAGACGCCTAAATCATAAAGGAGACCTACCAGATTAGCTCACAAAAGTGGAAGCCAATAATCTATACTCAGCCTCAGCACTTGATCTGGCAATGATGCGAGAATTATACGCACACAAATTAAACCCTCTTTTTGACAATTGTAGTATGGATGTAAGTAGGGATCGTTCTGGACCGGGGATTAGGAGGGATTGTTAACCACTTGGATTTGACTTCAAAAACGTAAAAACAATATAAAACACTAAACTAGACTCAAAGAATGTGAAACTAAACGTTAAAACACTAAGACAAAACAAAAGACTCAAAATGCTTTAAAAACACAAACTAAAATGATTTCTAACTAAATTGAACAATAAAGTAAAGGGGGATTGAATTTTGGACGGAATTAAACTAAATGAACAAATTGCAATTAAAACATAATGTAAATATGAAATTGATGAAATGGAATGAATGGATGCTAGCCAAGGGGTTCATCTCCACACATGTTACACTTGCATAATAAAAAGATTTCTAATTGCATTTCAATAAACCATGAATTCTCAACGCTCCGGGTTAATTAGGTCCGCTTAAATTAACCGTCAAGTTTTCCTTAAGTTAATGAATTGGATGATTGCATATGACAACCCAAAGCATTCCTTACTAGTTCCCTACATGAATTGCATAATAGAGATACAAGCAATAAGCAACATGAAAACTATAAGTGTTGACGAGGCATTCGTTACTATGATTGCATGAAACTTATGCCAAGAATTTGTTTAACGCGATTGTTTATAAGCAACCTCCACTACTTGTGAATATAAGTTCATAACTATTACGTGAAACTCACTTATATTCTAGCGTCAAATTCATACATGAAAATTAAGCGTTCATTCTTAATAAACATACATAAATAGGATATCAATCAAATAGTTAAACAAATTGAATTCACAACTTATGAAACGTAATTAAAAGTACTCAAATCATATTGCAAGCATAAACATATATTTCGAATCACCCCCTAGCTAAGGGGGGTTTAGTTCCTCATACGTACAAAACAAAGAGAATTGAAATTAAACATTGAAATCAAAGAAACGCCTAAACATTCCAACAACTCAAACTTGAATTGTATGAACGTTTAGGCCCTCTTATCTTCCTCTTCGTTGTAGCATAAGGTCTAAGGATAGTTGGTTTGGGGGAATGGAAGTGTGGAATTATGGAAGTGGATGAGGAGTGGTGGAAATGGAAGAATGGTTTTTGGATTCTAAGGGAGACTCACGGCTAGGAAAAAGAATGGATGATTTTGAGGAGTGTTGTGTTGTGAATGAGATGTGAGAATGGAGAGTGAATTGAATGATATGGAAGTGTGGGATGAATTGAATGATGCAAATGAATGAAGTGTGTGTGTGGTTTATATAGGGAGAGAATGGATGGGAGATCATGTGAATGATAGCTAGGAGAATGATTAAAGGGGTGTGAATGGTTGGAAATGCATGTGGGTGAATTGGTGGTGCAATGATGAAAGAATAAGTGCATGTGTGTGTTTTGTGTTGGAATGAATGCGGATGCATGATGAAGAGTTAATAAATAATGCATGTAGGGTTAGCTAGGTTGGAAAGGTGTGGAAGATGGATGGAATTAGGGGGAATGCATGGCAATGATGGAGAGTTCTTTGGTGATGAATGCAATGATGAAGAGTGAACAAATAATGCATGTAGGGTTAGCTAGGTTGGCTTTGTTTGGGTGCATGTGAGTTAAAGAGGGAGAATGTGGTGAAATGATGAAGTAGGAAGGTGGAAATGCATGTGAATGCATGTGAGTGCATGTGTGTGTGAATGGGTGTTTCTTGATGGTTTTGGGGTTGTGATGCATGTGAATGCATGTGGCTAAGGCTTGTTGATTGGGCTAGAGGTTTTGCATGGCTCAAAGGATTGTTTGATTGGGCTAGGCCCTTTGTTTTATGTCCAAAGTGCATACAAGGCTTTCAAATTCGTCCAACACTTTGGCTCCAAAAATATGCTATCCATTCCAAGCCCAATTTTGCTCCAAAATGCTCCAAAATGCATCTTTTTGCTTCCTTAGCCATATGAACCTAAAAACACACGAAAATGGCTTAAACTACTAAAACAACTATGAATTAACAACATAGATGCACGAAAACAAGCTAAGTAAGTCGCCTAAATATGCTCCTATCAGGCAACAACTGCTTGTTTTTTTTCTTTTCCATGTGACTAAGTTTCCTACCACAAACATGCAATATCCAGTTGTTGATTTGTGATCTATCGAATTTCCAGCCCAGTCAGCATCACAATATCCCATTATTTGAGTGCTTCCATTGTTCTTCATGATTATGACACGACCTATGGATCCTTTCAAGTAACGAAGGATTCTTTTGACAAGGTTAAAGTGCTCAAGAGTAGGTGCATGCATGAATTGACTCGCAATACTCACAGAATATAAGATGTCAGGTCTTGTGATAGTGAAATATGTCAACTTACCTACCAGTCTTTGATAGTAACCAGCGTTGGGAAAAGGTTCATCATCCAAACTGAGTTTAAGTTTGCTATCAAGAGGTGACTTGGCTGGTTTGACATGCTTCCTTGAGTATATCAAGTATATACTTTCGTTGGTTTAGAAATAGACCCTTATGAGAATAAGCCATTTCTATACCTAGAAAATATTTCAGTACCCCTAGATCTTTGATGTCAAACTATTGTTTGAGAGCTCGTTTGAGATTGGCAATTTCTTCTTCATTATCACCTGTGATAATTAAGTCATCAACATAAATTAAGAGCACCAATTTCCCTAAATGTCCAGGACATGTTCGGTGCACACAAACATGGAAGAATCTGCACTGCTTCTATCAAAACCAGCATTGATGAGAACCGAGCTGAGTTTGGCATACCAAGCTCGAGGTGATTGCTTCAGTTCATAGATAGCTTTATTCAACTTGCACACCATCTGTGAATTACCACTTTGTGAATGTCCAGGAGGCAATTTCATGTAGAATTCTTCTTTGAGATCCCCATGCAAGAATGCATTTTTAACATCCATTTGATACATTGACCATCCCTTATTCACAGCAATGAGAGAAAAACCCTTATTGAGTTCATCTATGCAACAGGAGCAAAGGTTTCCTTGTAGTCGACATCAAGAGTTTGCGTGAAACCACGGGCTACCAATCTCGCCTTATGTCTTTCAATCGATCCATCTAAGTTGAACTTAATCTTACATATCCATCTGCATCCCACAATCTTTTTTCCTTTTGGTAACTTTACAATGCTCCAAGTGTTGTGTTGATCGAGTGCGTGTAGCTCATCATGCATAGCTTTCCTCCACACTTTAGATTCATTTGCATCTTGGAAATTTTGAGGTTCTGAGAGGTCAGAAAGCTTGTTGAGGAATGCACTGTGAGTAGGTGCCAGTTTATGATAAGAGAC